ACACACACACACACACACACACACACACACACACACACACACACAAATGGACTCAGCAGGTTGTATTTAAGTATTTGTACATACACAAGTATGTCTGTGTATATGTAATAATAATAATCAAATAAAAAGATCATCAACTTGACAAGAGAGTCAGTGTAGGGGTTGGAGTTAGGTACAGGCAAAGGACTGGAGGGAGAAAAGGGAAAGTAATATAATTCTATTGTAATTTTAAAATGCATTTGTACTTTAAAAGTAGCATTTGAGTCTCCTTTTTTTTTTTCTGAATAAAAACTCTTGCTGACTGGGTTTTGACGAACTGCTACTGCCACCAAGTGGCAGGATTCCAACACAGAGATCTGTGCTTTCAATCGGAAAATCTAGCACAAAACATACCAACCTAAGTCACTGTACAGCATCTGTTAGAATTTCAGTGTGTTAACAGTGTCATTAAAACTGTCTAAATAAAGACTAGTGAATAGACAAAATATATTGTACTGGATTTACTAATATACTTAGTCACCAAAAGAAACAAAAAACAAAACAAAACAAAACAAAAAAACCTCAATATCTTTGTAAACAAAATCACCACGGATTTTGTATCCACAAATGGTATGGCAATTATTATGGCTGGCAGATACACACACACACACACACACACACACACACACACACACACACACACAATTCAAGGCAAGTTTTGCTAGGAAGAACTGTAGTGATTTTCTTTGCGGGTTTAATAAAGTGAGACGCTACGTACAAAAGGAGTCCATTGACAAGTAGCCAACGTTAGTGCCAAAGTGTTGAGCTATGCAGATGGCCTTTGACTTACGAAGGTAACTTCCAGCTCACAGACAGAAAGATGGTAGTGCCCCGGTCGCAGCCCCATGAGAGTGAATTCTGCCAAGACGTGATTTTGTGCCTGGTTTCTCCGGGGACAGTCGAAGGCAGCCCGTTACTCCCAGCTTGTGTTCAGCCCTTGTGAAGAGGAAGGCTATGCAGTTCCTGGGATACTAACCATTACGAGCTGACATGTAAACTCATTCTGCTTTAGGCAACCCTGTTTGTCATAATTTGATTATGCAAAGACAGAAAACTAAAACAACACATTGGACTTTGTGAATGCATCTTGTTTTAAGTTTGGATTAGAGTATTTCATTTGTCAGCATTTAATGTACATAAAGCAAGTGCAAATGTTTTTGTTTTTTTTTAATTTCCCATCGCACTCCTGACTGTAATGTTGACTGTGACAGTAAATCACCTTGGGCCATTGCTACACTGCTCTACCAGTATATTAAAAAGCTTCTGTTACAATCCTGAGTTTAGAAAAATTTGAAAACTCAGGGCCTAGAGAACTAGTTCAGTGTTTAAGAATTCTTGTTCTTTTTGCAGATGACCATAGTTCAGTGCCTATCACCTAGATGGGGTGGCCTGTGGGAACCTGTCCTTCTAGTTCCAGATGAGTCAGCACATTCTTCTGACTCCTGGGGGCTCCTGCTCACATGTGTCATATACTCACACAGGCACACATTTAAAAAAAAAGCCACATGATGGTAGCACACACCTTTAATGTCAGCACTCAGGAGGCAGAGGCAGGCGGGCCTCTGTGAGTTCAAGGCCAGCTTGGCCTACAGAGTGAGTTCCAGAATATTCAGAACTACAGAAGAGAAACCATGTCTGAAAAATAAATGAATAAAAATAATATAATAATGTATTTAGAGTAAAAGAAAAAAAATCCTGAATTGAAATTTGTTGCTTTCTTAAGAAGAGGGCTTACTAAGTCAAGATAAATCTTATTTATAGTCATTTATCAAAGTCAAACATTGTCTTCCTATTGCAAGATTAGTGAGGGAACAAAAGTGAAGAAAATCAGAATACTCTTATTCTCAAAATCAAGGCTATGTCATTCTCCATAATAATTCTTAATCAACATACACATCTGTGTCACACTAAAATTAATAAGGTGCTTTTTTAAAAAAAAATATTTATTTATTACACATATACCAGAAGAGGGCGCCAGATCTCATCATAGATGGTTGTGAGCCATCATGTGGTTGCTGGGAATTGAATTCAGGACCTCTGAAAGAGCAGCCAGTGCTTTTAACGGATGAGCCATCTCTCCAGCCCAACAAATTGCTTTCTTATGCATGTTCCATTACTTATCACATGGGATCTGTTAAAGATGGGTTGATTGTACATGAATGCAGTGACCTTCTCTTCTACAGACAAACAGGTTTGGGTTTAACGACCAGCTGTAAGGACTATCAGTCACCACGACCTTGGATTAAAGACCCTTTCATTTCTTGAATGTGGGAAACCTGGTAACTATCTCTTGAAGAACGGGTGTTACATGTTTATTGTGTTTATGATGTAAACACAATAAATGTCTGTGCTCATGCTTCATGTACCATGAACACAATCTTTGAACTTCAGAAAGGGAAGAAGTAGGGGCCCGATTTCCTCTACTACAGCCGACCACAGAACTGTAGAGAAGATTCCTGTTTTTATTTCCCCCCATTCCACCCTGGTTAAGGTGAAGGCCTGTCTTAAAACATCCTCCACCAGACTTGAGAAAGAAATTTCAAGTACCATCCCTCCCCTGAACGTTGTCAGGGTGTGGGCATTGCTCACCTTTCTCTCTGCCTCAAATCATGCGTCACAAGACCCCCTGAGAATGCTCACTGTATGTATAATTCCGACAGGAACGCCCAGTCCTCGCAGAGAGCGTCATGTCCACCCCAATTGGCTGTCGTCCTGGGCAACCAATGACACAGTGGGCACGCGAGGGTCCCCCTGCCAGTATTTAAAGGAGGCCACTGCCCGTGCCCGTTCAGTCCGGCCAGGACGGCGACGGTGAAGCACCTGGGTTGAGAGGGAGGAGCAAGGTAACACGCAGCCCTGCCTCTCCCGTCCCCAGCCCGCACCTCCTCTGAGGCGGGTGTGTGTGGGACCCGGGAGTGGCTCTCACATCTCATCGCCCACCAACACCTTCCTCCCCCACCATCCTTACCCTACCCAACCCACCTGGGCAAGACAACCCAGGTGCGAAAGACAGTGATTCTGAAGGAAGAGCGAGCAAGTGGAGAAGAAAGAGGGGGGTCCTCGTGAAGAGGGAAGGCCTGGTCACAGTCAGAAGCACGTGGCACTAGGGGCCCCAGCTGAGGAGGCTCTTCTGATTGACCATCGGATCTGGTCACATTGACGGCTCCTAGGACGCTACCTCTGAGACCTGGTGGCAAGGTCCCTGAACCATGACCCAGGTGGTCAATGAAAGGGAGGATTCCCTTAATCTGGGCAGCGGCGGTGGAGGAGGAGGCAGCGGCAGCTGGGCATCCTCCCTCCCACTGCACACCTGGTCCTCCTATCATCGAAGGCAGAGGAGTGCTCCGATGTCCAAGCGGCGATACCGCGATGGCCCCAAAGCTGAGTACCAGGCTCCCAGGAAACAACCCAAGCAACAGCGCATCCATGGCCCTTGGTTCCAACCGCCCAGAGGCCCCTACTGGGCCCTTTACTCCAACTGGGGGCGCTGTGGAGAGCCCTGGCGCCCACCACTCATAGCATTCCAGAGCCCCCTTTGTCCGGCGCAGATGATCCGGGCCTATGGTCTGCACCCGCTCTGCCTTTGCTGCTGCTCTTGCTGGAGCGGGCCCTGGAGCCCCGGCTGGGAGAGACCCCCGGGCCGAAAGAAGCGCTGGGGGCGCAGGGGTCGTGGCCTGCGTCGACACCCTCGTCGCTCGTTCCAGAGGAACCCGCCCATAGACATGAGAAAGCTGCTGCGCCCGGTCAACCTGTACGGCAGGCGGGCTCCTGGGATGAGAGCGCCGCGGAATACCACCCAGTTCATCATGAACCAGGTCTACGAAGACATGAGGCAGCAAGAGAAGCTAGAGCGCCAGCAAGCGGTGTTGCGCGCACAGCAAGCCCAGGCTCGTGGCATCTCCCCCGGAGGCTCCACTACCAATGACGCGCTCCACAGCGGCGTCCATGAAGACTCGCAGTTGCCGGAAGATCTGTTTGGCTTCATGCAGGATCCCTCTCTAACCTTCAGTCCTACTCCAGTGCAGCAAAACCAGTCTCCCACCCCACAGCGGGTAGAGGAAGAGGAGAAAAATAATGATGATGAGTGCGACAAAGAGGTTTGTGATGAAAAAGAGGAGAGCGAGGAGGAGGAAGACGAGGAGAGAGAGACAGCAGATGTGGATGCGGATGGAGAGGAAGTGGAAGAGGCTGACGATGGGGAGGAAGTGGAAGAGGATATGTTGGAAGAGGTGGGGCTGGAGGAGGGAGAACAGAGAGAGGAAGAAAAATTCTTGTGTCTGGGAATGCCTTTGTCGATCCTAGTAGGGGACGAAGAAGAGAGAGAGAGCTTTATGAACTATGATTACTTAAGCCAAGAACAAATAATTCCCAACGTGCCAGAGGCAGGTCTGTTTATGGTACCGGACGGACATTAGCCATTAGCCTTCAGGAAGGGAACTGAGAAACGAGATGGAACTGATTTTGAGGCTAATATGCATTCACAACTTGTTAAAAACAAATTTGAAAGTGAGTTCCATAAATAAACATCAATGTAAACACCTTCGTTGGCCACTATAAAATATTTAAACATTGCTGTGTTTGTGTATGACTATGGGCGGGAGAGGGGAAGATTTCAGATATATTTTATTGGAAACGATTAAAGGCCAAATATTTTATTACTGCAGTTTGAATATTTTCATTTGCTGTCCCCCCTTCAGACAACAGATTTTGTAGTTCATAAATCTTGCAGTATCGAAAAACATTTAAATATACACAGCAGCTCCGAATCACCAGAATTTGATTGTCACATGCTTTAAGAACATGCTTGGTGGCCACTGAACACTTGCCAGTGCTCTTATAACCCAGGGCGCTTCAGAACAGCGTCTTTCTACAGCTGTAGAGGTTCCACCTTCGAATTTGAGGGTTGTATTTTGGTAACCCCATTACAGTATATGTGGCATCGCTCATTTATATTCCTTGTTCCACAGTGCTATGGATCTTCCTCAGAAGAACATGAAGTTGCTTCTGTGGAACTGGTTATCTGCCATGGCCTCAGCAATCCATAATCCATGCATGGAGAGGATTCCCCATGGTCAGAAGTCAACTTGCACATCTAGTTAAGATCCAAGGTAACTGCAAACAGCGGCACATGGCTTAGATTGTGAGGCCTTGTTCCTGCACGTATTCCTTCAATACGTTCACAGGAAATAGAAACATAGTTTTGCAGAGTGGATTAAAAGAATGTTGACTTTTGGGAGGTGGAATATCTAACTTTGTTTCCCAGTTTGTCTTCTTTGAAAAGGAGTAAAAACAATGTATAAATATGAGCCTGTGTGATAGTTTCTGATAATCTGTAAGCAATTACCTATGGAGATTACATCATTCCAAACAGCAACTTTGGTTCAAAGATTTTAAGAAGTAAAAACATATTTTCCCCGAGTTGCATAAGTTCCACTGACATCCTATGTCCAGAGACATACTAGATGAAGAGTTTGAATACAACTTTTTCAGAATTACACCTTGTCAGTTATGTTTAACTTGAAACACAAGTTAGTATTTATTGATGAGAAATTTTCTGTGTTGACTTCACTTTTAGATATTTACTTTTGCCAGCAGGACTATGAACTATTAAGAAATAAAATTATGAAAAATATCCTTCTCATTTGTGTTGAAATATCAGAAATCTATACAGCTGTACTGCAGGGTCCAACAAGATAAAGAAGAATCATTGTAAGACTCTAAAAATCATATCAAACATTACAAATTACATCAGTAAATGCCAGCCATTTAATTTTAAGCTAAGAAAAGTGATAACTTTCTGTGTGATTGAATGCTCTATTTAAATTGGCTATCGTATGCCTTATGACAGTTACTATATGTACATATAAAAACAAGCCCCATCTCATTCCTGATAATGCTCCTTCCCTACACATCAAAACTCATTTGCGATTCACTCAAAACACTTCTGAAAAATCACAATGTCAAACGTATATAGATTTCTATTCAAGCAATCTGTTTAGGTTTAAATGTCTTTACAAGTCTCATACCTGGACAATTATCAGTATCATCTTAAAGAGATGCTTCTTTTAATTTAAAACAATTATTCTTTGTGAGCTTTATGTATGCAATGTATTGGGCTCATATTTAACCCACTGAATTTTCTCTCTGGGTCTCCCAAATCATCATCTAGTCATCTTCCCAATCTTCTCGCTTCTAAAGAATAAAATTCAGCACATTAAATAACTCCAAGGCTTTTTTTTATTACAATTAATGACTGTCTCAGTCACAGTATTATTGCTATGAAGAGACATCATGACCAAAGCAACTTTTAACAGTTTCAGAAACTTAGTCCATTATCATCATGAAAGGGAGCATGGCAGACAAGATGTTAGAGAACTGTTTGAGTGATGCATTCTGATACACACACATGCATGCTCACACACACACACACAACACACCACATACACACACACCCCACACACCACACACACACACACACAAAGAGAGAGAGAGAGAGAGAGAGAGAGAGAGAGCACCTGTAACTGCCATAAATTTTTGAAACCTCAAAGCCCATCCCAATAACCCATTTCTGGCAAGAAGGCCTCTTCACGTAATCCTTATGATCCTTTCAAATAGTACCACTTCCTGGTGACTAGGTATTCAAATCTATGAGTTTGGGGGACCATTCTTATTCAACCACCACAAGGATATAAGCAATTGTTCATAGTTTATATTCTAATCTAGAAACTATAATTCAAGTTACTGAATTATTAGAATTTACTATTGTTCACTAAAAATGTGAACAATGATGACACAATGATGATCCACCAAATCACTCCCATTTGAAGGAAGACTATGAAAGGAAACATAAATCATAAGGAAGCCTTAGAGGCTTGGATATTTCTTATGTCCTGGGGGAGGGTGTGAAGCATGGAGTCTAAGCTGGCCAACAGCTGGGAGGACCTTTCTGGCACTGGGTAACTGAGGACTGACCTAAGGCATAGGATCTCAAGAAAGAAGCATCCAATAAGAAGCCAAAGAGGTAGGCAGAAATCATTATCTACTTACTCCCTGTGCTTATCTGTGTACTTTGAAAGGTGTGCAAAATGTAAACACTAGTCATTGATTACTCCTCACCTGAGCTTGTTTTGTAAGCATATACTGTGATGATCCTGGAGAGATTGGCACCACAATATACCCATCATGAAACATATACTAGGCCACAGGTTATTATCATGAAGTATGTTGAGCTTTGCTCAGCATGATTGTTGAACCGACTCGTTACCTTCCACACAGCTTCTTTAGAGAACTTGAGAGCTTGTACAGTAGACCTGAGTACCAGTGTGGCTCAAAGCAGACCCCGTGTTTATGTTTAGAGGTAAGGTAAGCTGGAATAAAATAGTCCCAAGAAAGCTTACATGCAAAGGCATCTTAAAAGCAAATCAAATAGCCATAGTGGCCTACAGATGCCATACAGGGATCACTTTCAGAGATAGAGACCTTTTATCGAATGTCAGAAAACATTAAAAATGCCTAAATTTAATAAGCATCATTTCTGTCTGTCTGGGATGGCTAGACAGATACACATATCTTCCATGACTACATCTTAAATAGTTAATATAAAGTTATTGCAATTGGATAGAACAATTAGTAATTAAAATATATAGGCCTCAGTGAACATTGTAAGAAAAAATATTCAACTAAGTAAAACTAATTCTATTCTGTTTTGTTACTTCTCATTTATTATTAAAAAAAATCAAAGTTTAACGTCGAAATTTTCATAAGAATTTATAGATGGTATTTCATAGTATTTTCCTTTTCTATTCACTGACTACTAGTGGAGACAAAACTCTTTTCTGTGGAATTATGGTTTTCTGAGAATGATAAACCTACTTGATATTTATAAATCAACGCTGAGCCCTGAGTATGATTTCATAAAAATGTACACCTCAGTACATAAAGAAGACAGTATTTCCAACACATTCCATTTCAATAAAGACAGAAAAAAAAAACATAGCCAATGTCTTTCTAGCTATATTAGCTATACAAATCTGGAAAATAAATCAATTGTATATTGCTATATTAGCTATACAAATCTGGAAAATAAATCAATTGATAGGCACTCTTTGAGGACTAGAATTTCTTCAATGTAATTTGAAAATTTTCAGGATCACACAATGATGTTACTGCTGTGCTATTGGTATCAGTCAGGTTTATACTAACAGAGAATTCACATTTGCATTTAATAGTTCTGAGTCACTTTGTTTTGGGTTATCATTGTATGGAAACGAACTCAGAATGTGCCTCTGGCTTAGCTATTTCAATATTAACTGTTATGTATTAGCTTTACATAATTGGAAAGTGTTCAAAATCAAAATCAGTCGATAGAAGAAATGAAAAAGAATTGTGTATATGTTAAGAATTCCGGGATGTATTCTACCCTAGTGACTACACGACATGCGACAATAGTTGCGTGCCTTTGTTTCTATTTTCCCAAACATAGCGACAACACTCCACTATCACACAGACTCACTTTGAAGAACTATAAAGAAATAACCATTACTTAAGAGTTTAATTGTGGACCATAAATCAATATAAATTACTATATGCTGAACTAAATTTTACGGTGAAAGTAATGACCCTTGAATTCTGAAAAATACATCAATTAGTTCATTAATAAAGCCTGGGGTATCTTGTTCCATCATAGGGTACTAAGGTAGTCAGTCACCCTGAACTAAGTATGAATATGTTTAACCTCGAAATCTTGTTTAAGTATTTGGTAAAATTATACAACTAGAAAAGTCTAGTGCTTTGATGTTTAAAGTAAACTTCATGAACCAACAGAATAACTGCAGTTAGATCCATTGAAGAAAGATAGACTTCAGATTCTGAAACATTTGAATATATGCAAGATCCTTAGCATACATTGATTGTAAGCATATAACCACTCTCACAACCAATTTTACTTATCAGTTGCATATAAGGGAAAACTCAAATGAGAAAATGGTTTCCAATCCCTATTTGTCTACTTTTAGTCATGCTTTCTTAATCATTCTTCCCTGTATCTGATTTAGAACTTTATCAGGAATCAATTTAGTAAACTTTAAGCTGTATAGATATATATACTAGTGTATGTTCATATACGTATGTATATGTACATTGCATGTATTTGTAGGATATATAGATAGATTAGATATAGATGATATAGACACAGATATAGATAGATGTAGATGATATAGATTAAAAAAGACTAAGATATAAGTTAGATATATTAGATAGATGATTGGGATAGATACAAATATAGATGAAATAGTTTAAATACAGATGCTATAGATACAGTGATACAGATGATAGATACAAATACAGATACAGGTACAGGGATGGGTGCAGATATAGATTTAGATTAGATTAGATATAGATTAGAATTGGATTAGAT